TTCCCAGCCTGGTGCAGGTCTACAATTTTGTTTCTGGTGTCCTTTGACAGCTCTTTGGTCTTGGCCATAGTGGAGTTTGGAGTGTGACCGTTTGAGGTTGTGGACAGGTGTCTTTTATACTGATAACAAGTTCAAACAGGTGCCATTAATACAGGTAATGAGTGGAGGACAGAGGAGCCTCTTAAAGAAGAAGTTACAGGTCTGTGAGAGCCAGAAATCTTGCTTGTTTGTAGGTGACCAAATACTTATTTTCCACCATAATTTGCAAATAAATTCATTACAAATCCTACAATGTGATTTTCTGGAGAAAAAAATGCTCAATTTGTCTGTCATAGTTGACGTGTACCTATGATGAAAATTACAGGCCTCTCATCTTTTTAAGTGGGAGAACTTGCACAATTGGTGGCTGACTAAATACTTTTTTCCCCCACTGTATGCATTCTGAGAGTTTTGTCAGTCACATAAAGACAGCATCTGACACAATATTGTGTTTTCTCCAACATGCAACGAACATCCTGTCAAGTGTTTTATTTATCCAAGTAGATCAGTGCATGGTTTTATCAGCTGCTTACAGGAAATCTGCTGCAGCCCCCAAAATGTATCTTGGTCATATGAGGCTCAGAGATACTGTCATGTTTTGTGGTTTGTAGTTTCCTTTCTGTATACAGGCAATGTAGGGTAGCTGGTCTTCCTCTAGGGAGGTAGCTGGTCCTCCTCTAGGGAGGTAGCTGGTCTTCCTTTATGGAGGTAGCTGGTGCTCCTCTAGGGAGGTAGCTGGTCTTCCTCTAGGGAGGTAGCTGGTCCTCCTCTAGGGGGTAGCTGGTCCTCCTCTAGGGAGGTAGCTGGTCCTCCTCTAGGGGGTAGCTGGTCCTCCTCTAGAGAGGTAGCTGGTCCTCCTCTAGGGAGGTAGCTGGTCTTCCTTTAGGGAGGTAGCTGGTGCTCCTCTAGGGAGGTAGCTGGTCCTCCTCTCAGGAGGTAGCTGGTCCTCCTCTAGGTAGGTAGCTGGTCCTCCTCTAGGGAGGTAGCTGGTCCTCCTCTAGGGAGGTAGCTGGTGCTCCTCTAGGGAGGTAGCTGGTCCTCCTCTCAGGAGGTAGCTGGTCCTCCTCTAGGTAGGTAGCTGGTCCTCCTCTAGGGAGGTAGCTGGTCCTCCTCTAGGGGGTAGCTGGTCCTCCTCTAGGGGGTAGCTGGTCCTCCTCTAGGGAGGTTGCTGGTCCTCCTCTAGGGAGGTAGCTGGTCCTCCTAGGGAGGTAGCTGGTCCTCCTCTAGGGAGGTAGCTGGTCCTCCTCTAGGGGGTAGCTGGTCTTCCTCTAGGGAGGTAGCTGGTCCTCCTCTAGGTAGGTAGCTGGTCCTCCTCTAGGGAGGTAGCTGGTCCTCCTCTAGGTAGGTAGCTGGTCCTCCTAGGGTGGTAGCTGGTCCTCCTCTAGGGAGGTAGCTGGTCCTCCTCTAGGGGGTAGCTGGTCTTCCTCTAGAGAGGTAGCTGGTCCTCCTCTAGGGAGGTAGCTGGTCCTCCTCTATGGAGGTAGCTGGTCCTCCTCTAGGGAGGTAGCTGGTGCTCCTCTAGGGAGGTAGCTGGTCCTCCTCTATGGAGGTAGCTGGTCCTCCTCTAGGAGGTAGCTGGTCCTCCTCTAGGGGGTAGCTGGTCCTCCTCTAGGGGGTAGCTGGTCCTCCTCTAGGGGGTAGCTGGTCCTCCTCCAGGGGGTAACTGGTCCTCTTCTAACTATGTTGTTTATCATCACACATTTTATTTTCAGAGCTCAGCTAGAAAAGTGTGTTCAGTTCTATTTGTGGACCACAGGAAGGGTAGGTGCTGCATTTACAACGGCTAATGGTGATCCTAATCAACTAACCTAAACTATTCTATATACATTCTGAGAGTTTTGTGATCCTAATCAACTAAACTAAACTATTATATATGCATTCTGAGAGTTTTGTCAGTCACATAAAGACAGCATCTGACACAATATTGTGTTTTCTCCAACATGCAACGAACATCCTGTCAAGTGTTTTATTTATACAATTAGATCAGTGCATGGTTTTATCAGCTGCTTACAGGAAATCTGCTGCAGCCCCCAAAATGTATTTTGGTCATATGAGGCTCAGAGATACTGTCATGTTTTGTGGTTTGTAGTTTCCTTTCTGTATACAGGCAATGTAGGGAAACACACCCGATGTTGATGACTAAACCATGTTTATTCTATCAGGTGCATGATGATTCAGATATCCCACCCACCCAACCACTCCTGAATGAATGAATGGGTTTCTATGGTGACCTAAACTCTCAACTGGAGCACAAGCTGTGTTCACTTCATTACATCTGAGGCCCAAATGGCACCTTATTCCCTATATAGTGCACTACTTTTGACCAAAGCCCTACGAGCCCTTCCCTCCACAACGTTTACACAAGGACTCTCATCTATCTATTGATGGATCCGAATGCAGCTGAAATATTTTGAAGGGAGTTCCTTTTTAGATAACCAGTTTGTTTACCACAATCAAATCAGTCCTGTAATATACCTCCCTCTCTTCCCCAGAAAACAGCATAGACCATACAAACCATTACTGTAGCATGGAGGGAACCTGTCAGCCCTCCAGCAGCTGTTACACTCTGTGTTCCAAATTGCACACTATTCCTTAAATAGTGCACTACTTTTGACCAGAGCATTATGGGTCTTCCTGGTCAAAAGTAGCTTCTATTTAATCTCTGGATTATGTTCTAAGGTCACGAAGGACTGTAAGTGCTATATCTCCACCCTATGTAAATGAGTTAAGTTAGGGTGCGCCAACTGGTGTTTTTATTTGGCCCACAAAGTTTTCTGAGCCCAAAACAATCAGCTCCAGGTGATTTTAATTTAAGAACTCTGTTCCCAAGTATTCCCACGCATAATAGAGAGAGAGATATGTGCTCATATACAAATGTAGGCAAGGCTTGAAATAATTATGTTTTAGTCAAATATTATATCTGTTTGGGCTTTTTGCCGTCACATCTGCAGTCTACAAATTATCTGTAATTATGTTCCGGCCCCCCGACCATCCGCTCAAGAAAAAAACGGCCCGCGGCTGAATCTAGTTGATGATCCTTAGGTTAAGTAAATATAATGTGCATATTTAGTGGCGCTATATAATTAACAGAAGTGTAACATTTCGGTAACTGGCCCAATGCTCTTAACCACTAGGCTACCCAACGCCCAGCAGTATGAATGCTATGCATGGTCCTTTATACACATGCAATATTGTACGCACTAATGTTAAATGTATCTGTAACAAAGTACAAAACACCAAGTCCCACTATTCTTGATTGAATCTTCATTGTTAAACATCATCATATAATATTAAAAACAGCAACCCACCTAATGTACAATACAGTACAACACTTACATGCAAATTGCCCAATAGCCAGCTATGGCCAACAAAACACAACAAGGAAAATAAGCATAATTCACAACACAGTCTTGAACATTGAACATTCTCCTGCCTTTTTCAAATAGATACACTTTCATTTACCAGTAGGCTACCTGTATTATTATGTATTAATTTACCAGTAGGCTACCTGTATTATTATGTATTCATTTACCAGTAGGCTACCTGTATTATTCTGTATTCATTGCCCAGTAGGCTACCTGTATTATTCTGTATTAATTTACCAGTAGGCTACCTGTATTATTCTGTATTAATTTACCAGTAGGCTACCTGTATTATTCTGTATTCATTTACCAGTATGCTACCTGTATTATTCTGTATTCATTGCCCAGTAGGCTACCTGTATTATTCTGTATTCATTGCCCAGTAGGCTACCTGTATTATTCTGTATTCATTGCCCAGTAGGCTACCTGTATTATTCTGTATTCATTTACCAGTAGGCTACCTGTATTATTCTGTATTCATTGCCCAGTAGGCTACCTGTATTATTCTGTATTCATTTACCAGAAGGCTACCTGTATTATTCTGTATTCATTGCCCAGTAGGCTACCTGTATTATTCTGTATTAATTTACCAGTAGGCTACCTGTATTATTCTGTATTAATTTACCAGTAGGCTACCTGTATTATTCTGTATTAATTTACCAGTAGGCTACCTGTATTATTCTGTATTCATTTACCAGTAGGCTACCTGTATTATTCTGTATTCATTTACCAGAAGGCTACCTGTATTATTCTGTATTCATTGCCCAGTAGGCTACCTGTATTATTCTGTATTCATTTACCAGTAGGCTACCTGTATTATTCTGTATTAATTTACCAGTAGGCTACCTGTATTATTCTGTATTAATTTACCAGTAGGCTACCTGTATTATTCTGTATTCATTTACCAGTAGGCTACCTGTATTATTCTGTATTCATTTACCAGTAGGCTACCTGTATTATTCTGTATTCATTGCCCAGTAGGCTACCTGTATTATTCTGTATTCATTTACCAGTAGGCTACCTGTATTATTCTGTATTCATTGCCCAGTAGGCTACCTGTATTATTCTGTATTCATTTACCAGTAGGCTACCTGTATTATTCTGTATTCATTGCCCAGTAGGCTACCTGTATTATTCTGTATTCATTTACCAGAAGGCTACCTGTATTATTCTGTATTCATTGCCCAGTAGGCTACCTGTATTATTCTGTATTCATTTACCAGTAGGCTACCTGTATTATTCTGTATTAATTTACCAGTAGGCTACCTGTATTATTCTGTATTCATTTACCAGTAGGCTACCTGTATTATTCTGTATTCATTTACCAGTAGGCTACCTGTATTATTCTGTATTCATTTACCAGAAGGCTACCTGTATTATTCTGTATTCATTTACCAGTAGGCTACCTGTATTATTCTGTATTCATTTGCATCTATCACAAGAAAATACAATAGATATAATTAAGAACAGTGCTTATCCCACAACATGCAAAAACACTGGCAGCTGTCGTCTTCGTCATCTTTGTTTTTGAAGATTGGACAGAAAGTTATGGCTGTTGTGGATACATCAGAGTGAGGGGAAGGATCAGTTATGGCTGTGCTGGATGCATCAGAGTGAGGGGAAGGGTCAATAGTAGGTCTTCTCTTCTCTGTATGATGAAGAGGGGTACTAGGCCTTTTTGGCCTTCATTCCCAGGCACAGTGCTAGCTCATTCCTCTGGATCTTTCCATCTTTGTTGACGTCACAGTGTCCCAGCAGCACAGCCCTCAGTTTGTCCAGCTCTGGACCAGTGATGCTGGGCTGGATGGAAGATCAACAGTTAAAAGGCATTAGTAGTGAAACGATGTTTGTATAGATGTATTTTATGTTGCACAAAAATTGCTCTTCCGGGACAATAAATATCTATTGAATGTGTGGCCTAAAGTTAATATATTCTGTAAGTTCCTTGAGGCCAAGAGGTGAAGGTCAAGGAGCATTTCATCTGTTTTTGATGGATACAGAGAACACTTGACACAATAGATGTCCTTAGGACCAGCCAGGACAGAGAACACTGGACACAATAGATGTCCTTAGGACCAGCCAGGACAGAGATGTATCAGATAGAAGTATGTTCATGACAAGGACATACACAATAGGTATCATATAGGAGCATGTTTAAGACTGACTCAAAGATATACAATACAATAGAATAATACAATAGATACGTTATTGTCCATTGGTTTGAACGAAAATGTGTCTTCTACCTTTCCCAACACCATATTGTCCCATGTTATTACAAACACATGACTTTCACAAAGACATACAGTCGATTATAATAGGAACATGTTTGTGGCACATTCATAAAGATATTGTCTGATATTCTTCCCCACAACTTACCCTGACCAGTTCCATCATGTCTTTTACAAAGCCATCCACCTCTGGACCTTCCAAAGCTCCGGTGTTACTCTGACCAATGGAGAAGAGAGAACATAGAACATAGAACTTACTAAAAGCTCCGGTGTTACTCTGACCAATGGAGAAGAGAGAACATAGAACATAGAACTTACTAAAAGCTCTGGTGTTACTCTGACCAATGGAGAAGAGAGAACATAGAACTCATTAAAAGCTCTGGTGTTACTCTGACCAATGGAGAAGAGAGAACATAGAACTCATTAAAAGCTCTGGTGTTACTCTGACCAATGGAGAAGAGAGAACATAGAACTCATTAAAAGCTCTGGTGTTACTCTGACCAATGGAGAAGAGAGAACATAGAACATATTAAAAGAGCATCATGCCAAAATTCTAATCTCTCTTCTCTGAATGCAGACCAAACATCCTTGTTTTGCAACTCATATTTAATTTACAGACAATATAGAGGAAGCAGTTGCCCTGCAAATCAAATCCAACATCTCAGCCCCAAGGTACTCTGTCTATACTCACAACATCATAGTGGTTGAATATTTTGTCAAAGTCTCTCTTTCTGTCTTCTTGACTGTAGGCCTGTAAACAGAGTAAATTATGTTAGTTTCATCTTCCATTTCCTAAGAAGATTTTGCATTAGACTGTAATGAGCATTAGGAGAACACATCAACTGAACTCACATCCATTTTGAACTGTAACATGAAGTTCTCTTCTAGAGCCAGGATCCTAAAGGAAAACATTAAATTAACAACATTTTGATCAAGCAAAACAGCATAGTCAGAAAAGGTATTGGTACTACAGTATTCAGAATTGTAATATAGTCAATCAGAAGTACCTGGCCAAATCGTTCAGATCCAAGCGACCATCCTTATTTTTGTCAAAAATGTTCATCTGTAAGAAAAATTGAATGTATGCATAATAAAACATGTGCAATTTTGTTTCAAGAAAGACCAATGGAGATATTAAATATATTTGGCGATTACTGGTTTTCCTGCTTAAAAAAGACAACTAAACATGTTTGTCAATGGTTTAGATCTGAGTACAAATCAACAAATTTTGACGCAGGTTAGCGTTTTAGCGTTTTTCATTATGAATCTTGTTCTGGAGGCAGGTCTGCAGAGTGGTCACTAGCTGGCAATGCCACAACGTCATTAAACCTAACCCTAACCTTAACCACACTGCTAAGCCTAACCCTAACCTTAACCACACTGCTAAGCCTAAACCTAACCCTAACCACACTGCAAGCCTAACCCTAACCTTAACCACACTGCTAAGCCTAATACCTAACCCTAACCTTAACCACACTGCTAAGCCTAATGCCTAACCCTAACCTTAACCACACTGCTAAGCCTAATGCCTAACCCTAACCTTAACCACACTGCTAAGACTAATACCTAACCCTAACCTTAACCACACTGCTAAGCCTAATACCTAACCCTATCCTTAAAGGCACATTTTTGTTTTCATACATTTTTACAATATAGCCAATTTTGACTTTGCAGCTAGCCTATCTAAGGGGGAATCTCTCAGCTCTGCCTCCAAGGCAAGACTCATCACTCAACGTCAACCTGCCATTTTGACAGCCACTCTCTTCTGAAAATGAATATCATAGACAGGTTAGAAGTCCTCTAACGAGAACGAGGTGATGCCAGACCAGGCCAGGGTGAGAGACAGACAGAGTGAATTGGTATGAGAGGTGTAACAGTCTCCCGCCAGACACTGGTAATCTAATATCTCAGTCTGTTAGATGAGATGATTAATACAGCTGGACAGAGTGATCTGCTGTTGGCTGCCACAACATAGCCCTGTCACAGTCCCAAATGTACACCCTATTCCCTATATAGTGCACTACTTTTGACCAGGGCCCATAGGGAATAGGGTGGCATTTGGGACGCATCCCCTGTCTGATGAACTGGAGAGAGAGACCACACCTGGCTGTAGGATGAAGCCATTTTCTCCTAAATGGGAATCTGAGTCAGGGAAGTCCATTTAAAGTTAGAGCAAAATTTACAAAGTTTTCAGAGAATGGAACAGGCCTCAGGGTATAGATAGATTGGAAAAAACAGTCGGTGACAGGTAACAGTATATTGTGATTACCCTTTGACAGGAGTCTGGGCACAAGCCACATACATTTTGAACATCCTGAAGTTCCTGTACATTTTACAAAGTTGGTTGAAATGATGTTTGGTTGAAATCTGGTTGTAATGACGTCACATATTTGCCTGCTGAATCTATACCACGTTCAGTGACCTGAAAGGCACTCTGAAAGAGCCAAGAATAACGTTAGTTTGGCCGGCATGAATGGTTCTAGAGACTGATGACTGCATGAGGTTGATTAGACGTAGTGCTTGAGTTAACTTATTTTACACACACTGGAGAGAGATACTGTAAATCAGTGGGTAAGAGACTATAAAGACTGTGTGTCATGGCCAAAAGGGAAAGGAAGCATCCCAAGACTGGCAACAGGGACCAAGAGGATATCTTTAGTACAGGCCCTATCTTCCTCCAGGAACCAAGAGTATATATTTAGTACAGGCCCTATCTTCCTCCAGGAACCAAGAGGATATCTTTAGTACAGCTTCCTCCAGGAACCAAGAGGATATCTTTAGTACAGCTTCCTCCAGGAACCAAGAGGATATCTTTAGTACAGCTTCCTCCAGGAACCAAGAGGATATCTTCAGTACAGCTTCCTCCAGGAACCAAGAGGATATCTTTAGTACAGGCCCTATCTTCCTCCAGGAACCAAGAGGATATCTTTAGTACAGCTTCCTTCAGGAACTAAGAGGATATATTTAGTACAGGCTCTATCTTCCTCCAGGAACCAAGAGGATATCTTTAGTACAGGCCCTATGTCCCTCCAGGAACCAAGAGGATAACTTTAGTACCTATCCTCCTCCAGGAACCAAGAGGATATATTTAGTACATTATTTTTACATTTTAGTCATTTAGCAGACACTCTTATCCAGAGCGACTTACAGTTAGTGAATGCATACATTTTTTCATACTGGCCCCCCGTGGGAAACAAACCCACATTCCTGCCGGCCAAACCCTCCCCTACCTTGGACGACGCTGGACCAATTGTGTGCCGCCCATGGGTCTCCCGGTCGCGGCCGGCTGCGACAGAGCCTGGACTCGAACCAGGATCTCTAGTGGCACAGCTAGCACTGCGATGCAGTGCCTTAGACCACTGCGCCACTCGGGAGTCAAAAGTACAGGCCCTATGTCCCTCCAGGAACCAAGAGGATATCTTTAGTACAGGCTCTATCTTCCTCCAGGAACCAAGAGGATAACTTTAGTACAGACCCTATGTCCCTCCAAGAACTAAGAGGATATCTTTAGTACAGGCCCTATCCTCCTCCAGGAACCAAGAGGATAACTTTAGTACAGGCCCTATGTTCCTCCAGGAACCAAGAGGATATCTTTAGTACAGGCCCTATGTTCCTCCAGGAACCAAGAGTATAACTTTAGTGCAGGCCCTATGTTCCTCCAGAAACCAAGAGGATGTCTTTAGTACCTCCAGGAACCAAGAGGAATAACATTTTCAGCATTTGTTTTGAAATAGTATTTATTAATTATGAAATTATGACAAATATTAATAACATTCCACCAATGAGGCCACTAGGGGGCGATTTGGTCATTTGACTGCAGGAAAGGGCTACGAGACTGTTGTTTTACCATTGCGTCTGTGTACTCATCCAGTTTGCTGGAGGACACAGCCTTCCCGTGCTGCTGGAACAAGTCCTTCAGGAAACCCTGTTTACAAAGAAGGAGAGAAGAGATAAAAAGGGCATGGTTTATTGGTTTATTTCCTGATTCACTGAAATCAGATCTAACATGGTTTGATAAATATAAAGAAACAGAGAATTGTTTAAAGAGAAATGCAGAAGGACCCCACTGCTCAGCTGCAACCTCCAAGGCCACTACTGAAGATGTCCCTTTTGTAAGGAGGTTTCCTTCTGTTTATTTATTACAACTATACACCTCCACCTAAACCTTCACCTTCACAAAGTACACTCTTAGGAAAAATGGTTCCAAAAGGGTTCTTTGGCTGTCCCCATAGGAGAACAATTTTTGGTTCTATGTAGAACCCTTTTTGGTTCCAGGTAGAACCCTTTTTGGTTTTACATGGAGCCCAAAAGGGTTCTACTTGCAACCAAAAAGGGTTCTTCAAAGGGTTCTCCTATGGGGACAGCCGAAGAACCCTTTAAGGTTCTAGATACCACCTTTTTTTGTATGAGTGTAGAGTGAAGGAGGCTGGTGAAGACTGAGGTCTCTGTAGAGTGAAGGAGGCTGGGGAAGACTGAGGTCTCTGTAGAGTGAAGGAGACTGGGGAAGACTGAGGTCTCTGTAGAGTGAAGGAGGCTGGGGAAGACTGAGGTCTCTGTAGAGTGAAGGAGGCTGGGGAAGACTGAGGTCTCTGTAGAGTGAAGGAGGCTGGGGAAGACTGAGGTCTCTGTAGAGTGAAGGAGGCTGGGGAAGACTGAGGTCTCTGTAGAGTGAAAGGCTGGGGAAGACTGAGGTCTCTGTAGAGTGAAGGAGGCTGGAGAAGGCTGAGGTCTCTGTAGAGTGAAGGATGCTGGGGAAGACTGAGGTCTCTGTAGAGTGAAGGATGCTGGGGAAGACTGAGGTCTCTGTAGAGTGAAGGAGGCTGGAGAAGGCTGAGGTCTCTGTAGAGTGAAGGAGGCTGGAGAAGGCTGAGGTCTCTGTAGAGTGAAGGATGCTGGGGAAGACTGATAGAATAATAGATTGTGTAATCTGTCTCTCTTTTCGTTCCGTCTTTCTTTCTTTTCTTTCTTGTAGGGCTTGAACACAACATCCACATTCATTCCATATCTCACAGAGAAATCAGTGACAACACTGAGGCATCCCCCTTATGTGTCTTGTTTGGTCAGTGGTGATTCTGTGTGTAGGAGTGGGAGTTAAACAACATCACCTCCTGAGTGTAGGAGTGGGAGGTAAACAACATTACCTTCTGTGTGTAGGAGTGGGAGTTAAACAACATTACCTTCTGTGTGTAGGAGTGGGAGTTAAACAACATCACCTTCTGTGTGTAGGAGTGGGAGTTAAACAACATCACCTTCTGTGTGTAGGAGTGGAGTTAAAAAACATTCCCTTCTGTGTGTAGGAGTGGGAGTTAAACAACATCACCTTCTGTGTGTAGGAGTGGGAGTTAAACAACACTACCTTCTATGTGTAGGAGTGGGAGTTAAACAACATTACCTTCTGTGTGTAGGAGTGGAGTTAAAAAAACATTCCCTTCTGTGTGTAGGAGTGGGAGTTAAACAACATTACCTTCTGTGTGCAGAAGTGGAGTTAAACAACATTACCTTCTGTGTGTAGGAGTGGAGTTAAACAACATTATCTTCTGTGTGTAGGAGTGGGAGTTAAACAACATCACCTTCTGAGTGTAGGAGTGGGAGGTAAACAACATTACCTTCTGTGTGTAGGAGTGGGAGTTAAACAACATTACCTTCTGTGTGTAGGAGTGGGAGTTAAACAACATCACCTTCTGTGTGTAGGAGTGGGAGTTAAACAACATTACCTTCTGTGTGTAGGAGTGGAGTTAAAAAAACATTCCCTTCTGTGTGTAGGAGTGGGAGTTAAACAACATTACCTTCTGTGTGCAGAAGTGGAGTTAAACAACATTACCTTCTGTGTGTAGGAGTGGAGTTAAACAACATTATCTTCTGTGTGTAGGAGTGGAGTTTAAAAAACATTCCCTTCTGTGTGTAGGAGTGGGAGTTAAACAACATTACCTTCTGTGTGCAGAAGTGGAGTTAAACAACATTACCTTCTGTGTGTAGGAGTGGAGTTAAACAACATTATCTTCTGTGTGTAGGAGTGGGAGTTAAACAACACTACCTTCTATGTGTAAGAGTGGGAGTTAAACAACATTACCTTCTGTGTGTAGGAGTGGAGTTTAAAAAACATTCCCTTCTGTGTGTAGGAGTGGGAGTTAAACAACATTACCTTCTGTGTGTAGGAGTGGGAGGTAAACAACATTACCTTCTGTGTGTAGGAGTGGGAGTTAAACAACATCACCTTCTGTGTGTAGGAGTGGGAGTTAAACAACATCACCTTCTGTGTGTAGGAGTGGGAGTTAAACAACATCACCTTCTGTGTGTAGGAGTGGAGTTAAAAAACATTCCCTTCTGTGTGTAGGAGTGGGAGTTAAACAACATTACCTTCTGTGTGTAGGAGTGGGAGTTAAACAACATTACCTTCTGTGTGTAGGAGTGGGAGTTAAACAACATCACCTTCTGTGTGTAGGAGTGGGAGTTAAACAACACTACCTTCTATGTGTAGGAGTGGGAGTTAAACAACATTACCTTCTGTGTGTAGGAGTGGAGTTAAAAAAACATTCCCTTCTGTGTGTAGGAGTGGGAGTTAAACAACATTACCTTCTGTGTGCAGAAGTGGAGTTAAACAACATTACCTTCTGTGTGTAGGAGTGAGAGTTAAACAACATCACCTTCTGAGTGTAGGAGTGGGAGGTAAACAACATTACCTTCTGTGTGTAGGAGTGGGAGTTAAACAACATTACCTTCTGTGTGTAGGAGTGGGAGTTAAACAACATCACCTTCTGTGTGTAGGAGTGGGAGTTAAACAACACTACCTTCTATGTGTAGGAGTGGGAGTTAAACAACATTACCTTCTGTGTGTAGGAGTGGAGTTAAAAAAACATTCCCTTCTGTGTGTAGGAGTGGGAGTTAAACAACATTACCTTCTGTGTGTAGGAGTGGCGTTAAACAACATTACCTTCTGTGTGTAGGAGTGGAGTTAAACAACATTACCTTCTGTGTGTAGGAGTGGGAGTTAAACAACATTACCTTCTGTGTGTAGGAGTGGCGTTAAACAACATTACCTTCTGTGTGTAGGAGTGGAGTTAAACAACATTACCTTCTGTGTGTAGGAGTGGAGTTAAACAACATTACCTTCAGCTCTACAGCTGATATGTATCCACTGCTGTCAGCATCATACTTTCTCCAGATCTACAGAGACAAGAAGGACAATCAGTTACTACTGCTGTAAATACAAATACCTGCCACCAATGACTTTAGTACGCATTAAGGTGCTTATCCAGTTGAGGTGATGCTGAGTTCTTTGTCTTCTTCAGAGTTACTGTGATAGCCACACCAAAAAACATAGAACAAGGAACTGCGAACATACTTTCCGTAAATTACTAATTATATCTCACATATCTTGTTCTACAGATCTGGCAGGTACACAGATCACCAAACAGGCCATTCCAACAGATCACCACACGGACCATTCCAACAGATCACCACACAGACCATTCTAACAGATCACCACACAGACCATTCCAACAGATCACCACACAGACCATTCCAACAGATCACCACACAGACCTTTCCTGAACATCCAACTGCAGGTTTTCTTCCTGTATCACATATACTCACTAATGGCAGAATCCTAATATGAGATCTGCACACACATTTTACATAAATCTCCAATTGACATCAATATAACCTCACCAAAGTCTACACTGTTGTCCAGAGGGGCATCTTACCTTCATAAAGTCTACACTGTTGTCCAGAGGGGCATCTCTCACCTTCATAAAGTGTACACTGTTGTCCAAAGGGGCTTCTTTCCTTCATAAAGTCTACACTGTTGTCCAGAGGGGCTTCTCTCACCTTCATAAAGTCTACACGTTGTCCAGAGGGGCTTCTCTCACCTTCATAAAGTCTACACTGTTGTCCAGAGGGGCTTCTTACCTTCATAAAGTCTACACTGTTGTCCAGAGGGGCTTCCCTGCGGAACACCAGGAGGAAGTTCTCATCCTCTGGCAGGATCATCATGGCCAACTGCAACACAATCAAATAAACATTATAAACTGGGTGGTTCGAGCCCTGAATGCTGATTGGCTGACAGCTGTGGTATATCAGACCATATACCACGGGTATGACAAAACATTTATTTTTACTGCTCTAATTAAGTTGGTAACCAGTTTATAATAGCAATAAAGCACCTTGGGGGTTTGTGGTATATGGCCAATATACCACGGCTAAGGGCTGTCTCCAGGCACTCCGCATTGTGTCATGCTTAAGAACAGCCCTTAGCCGTGGTATATTGGCCATATACCACACCCCCTCATGCCCTATTGCTTAATTAACATTTAGCAGATGCTCTTATCCAGAGTCACTTACAATATGTGAATTCAAGTAAAGTGCATTCAACCGCATATCCCGATAATTGCACCACAGTTATCAGCAAGATATCAGTGGAAGTAAGATGAGAGAGAAACCATCCTTAAGACAGCAGCAGCTGTGCAGTGAGTCTCTCCCAGCCCAGCTGACCTCCCATGCAACAAGCCGAGAGTCAATGTCTCTAACTGTTGCTTCGCTCCTCTCTAACTGAATCACTGAAGCTGCACCTTTTTCCCAGAGAGACCGTGAAGTATGATGCCAGTGACGTGGCAGCAATACATCAGACCCACTAACTGTGTCCCTGGCAGGCATCCAGATCTAACCGTACTGAGTGCCCAACGGGATTGTGTGCAGCCCCCTCTTAGTCTTAATTATATTTGCACTGCATTAGAGGATTACATTGAGAGAGAGAGAGAGAGAGAGAGAGAGAGAGAGAGAGAGAGAGAGAGAGAGAGAGAGAGAGAGAGAGAGAGACCATGAGGATACATCCCATCCCAGCTGTAGGTTACTACTGCAGCACTATGCACCAAGAATACTGTCCAAAAATAACTCATTTTAGAAAAAACTATGAAAGGTGATTTATGCTGATTTATGTGTAAGATGAATCTGGTCATGCAATTGGCTGTCATATATGCTGAACATTAAACAAGTAATATAAGGGTCTTGTTTGAGTACCTATCAGTCCATCTCTACAAACTGTATATTGTTCATCCCATTAGGTGGTTTCATTGCCCGTCCCTTAGCTGCTAGCGCTGCACTCTCCACATCAACCACACAAAGAGACTGTGTGGCTTGTCTGCCAACTTCAGATGGCTGACAGAGTGTTTACTGTGAGTGATCACTCCCATATACTGTAAAACGTCACACAGAAACCACACAAATATATTGATCATTTCCCCCCACTTATAAAAGCTGGAAGCCTTTGAGATTTGTGGTCAAATTAATTGGTCTTCTTTTGAAAGTGGATGAAAGCACTTTTTCTGTTGCAAACTTTCGGATTGAACATTGGTACCTCTCTCTCTCTCTCTCTCTCTCTCAATCCCCCTCCTCTCTCCTATGAAGTACAGCTTGAGGTTCCTGTGCCATTTTTCAGCTTGTGTCACTCATGGCTCTCAGAGATGTCCATGTTCTGTTGGCTGTACCTAAGATTGTTATAGCTATAGGTTTCCCACCTATCCATCTGTTGACATTACCTCCTGGATCTGCAGGCGTCCGTCTGCGGTGACATCATAGGCTGACATGAACCTCTGCTTCAGCCTCTGGACCCTCTCCTCTGTTACCTTATCCTGCAGGCAGAGAGAGACGAGAACAACAGCTAACACGGTTACTATGACTCCTTACTTTTTTTACATCCTGTAGGTATGTTGTTCTGATTGGAAGTTCACTTTCACAGTATCCTATTGGTCAACAAAGCAGGTGTTATAAAGGGGTCTTAGATTAATTCTGTTTTTCTCTTTTTGTTCCTGACCTGCTGTGGTGAGATACACGCTCTCTCCTTCTCTCTCCTTCCCATGGCCTCTTGGGGCATGGCTTTTCATGCTGTGACTTCTCTCTCTTGCTCTCCCTCTCTGATCATGCCTATAATAATCTTATAATGCTGGTATTGCATTGTAACTTAAGCTTATGTGAATCGTTCGTTTTTACAATGTAATTAAATCTACTTTCCTTTAGTATTCCATTCTCATACCTTTCTTGATAGCCTATTACTGTAACTCAACCATAGTCTCATGCATATTACTAAATCATCTTTATGGAGTCAGATATCAGTATTGACAGACTTTGTTTAACACTTTTTTGGTTACTACATGATTTCATATGTGTTATTTCATAGTTTTGATGTCTTCACTGTTATTATATAATGTAGAAAATAGTACAAATAAAGAAAAACCCTTGAATGAGTAGGTGTTCTAAAACTTTTGACCGGTAGTGTATTTTAACAATATCACAACAATATTTTGTTTTCTACACATCCATTTGTTAAAGCATGAACCATTAAAAACACCATAACCATCACTTCCCTCTGACTACCCACTGTGAAGATAGTCAGAACACCAACACTGTGTCCCAAATGGCACCCTATTCCCTATTTAGTGCACTATGGGCTCTGGTCAAAAGTAGTGCACTATATATGGAATAGGGAGACATTTGGGACGCATCCCCATAATTGTGTTGGCTGATGCCTGTAGCATCCTAATGTTATCCTTAAGCCCATCTGGACAGCAGCTCAACCCACTCAGGAAAAAGACAAACACATACTAAAAGTTTGAATAGAGCCTTTGTTTGAACAGAGCTATAACTAAAGATACCCCTGCCCTTTAATGCACAATACATGGGAAAAGTACTGGCTGTTTTCCTGTATAAACCCATAGTTTTATTTACTGCTCAATCATCAGTAGTAGGCCATTGAATCATTTTCTTAACTCACCTAGACAAAGTAAATTGATCGACTGTAAATACTTAACACAAAAATAAGATGTTGTTGGCAATCTCCCATAGTGGCAACATTGACACACCACTTACAATACACCAGAGGCAGAGCCTTTAAAACATTGTATGCTATCTGCAATAAAGGAACTTCCGATTACACTTTTTAGAGGACCAGTGAGCCATATTTAGAAGTGGATATTTATAATCATAATATATCTGTTATGAATCATTTATAAAGGGGCACACTAGTTTCTGGCAGTACTCGCAAATAGACTAAATGCACCTGCTGTGCTTCAAATGTGTTGGGCATTATTAGTCTGCTAATAGAATAGACAAAAGATAGAGGGGAAAAGATGTGTACTTACCTCCGGACCTAATTTCGTCATCATGTGACGGAAAAATTGATCCAACTCCTTCCCTTCAATGTAACCGTTATCTGTAGAACCATGAACAACATTGAAAATACTCTCTCGTTAGTTTTAGAATACATTTTAAACATTTTCTTTACATAAAGAACATATTTTTGCATCAAAAATAACATATATCAAGTTATCAAATCATAACTCGCATGGTTGGGTTATAATATTGATAATTCTCACCGTCTGCATCAAAGTGGTGCCAAATCTCCAGAAAACCAACAGCATCCAAGTGATCAAAAGCGCAGTCCATTGTAATAAACAGGAGTGGAAATTATAACTCTTAATACCGTTTATGATAGTTCAGCTGGTAGCCTACTGTTGCTGTATCCTTGTCGAGAGCCTACTCTGCACTAGTTCAGTACAACATCTGGGTGCTTTTCTTGATGTGGCCCGATCAATTCTCCAAACCCCACCTCCTTATATGGAACAATCTGACTTCACCATGACGCAGTGTAGAATGAATAGAATACAGTATGGACAAACACATTTTAACTGCAGAGCCATTAGAGTTTGGTCAACTTTTAGAATGTTGAATATTGTTCTAATTCTAGACATTCAGTTGCATAGCATTGTTTTAATATTCCCCATGTAATGTTAATGGGGAACTAACATGGCTGCCATAGAATGTTCAACTGTCATGTAAATACATCATAATGAAGAAACCACATTGGCCCAACTCTCTAATTACATGGTTCTGTTGAATGTAGCAATAAATGAGATTAGTGTAAAGTCACAAAAATGCTTTCCTCCTCAAACTGGTCTGTCAAATATGAAAAGTTAAGCAATATCATACCAGAGATAGTTTACGACTTCATTTAATTTCTCACTTTCAGATTTTTAGAGTGGCTGGCTGAATTATATCTCAGCTTGCATTGAAAAAAGCACTAAGTCAAGACACTCTTATATTGTGAGTACAGTTTCACAGTAACATATTTCAGTGTTTTCTTCTATTTGAATTACAGGCCTGTATTCAATCAAACAGACAAGAGTTCCCCCATCCCACTGGGCACACATTGGTTGAATCAATGAAATGACGTCGTGGAGTAGACGTTGAATTGACGTCTATGCCCAGTGGGATGGCTCCGCTTTCTCTCATCTTTATCCCGCCATCTGGTGGCTAGTTGTGCTACTGACAAGACCTGCCTATATTCAACACTAACACTACATTCATTACAGAGTGTAAAGGTGGTATTTACCACTTACGACTGGGGAAAAAAACACTTGAACGCCCCTTCAAGTGGTAATTACAAGTGGGGAAACGGGTGTGTAAAGGAAGTCACACTGCTTGCTTAGCGTGTACCACTTCCTCCCGATTCGGCACATATCTGGCTCGAACCAGAGTCCTCTGCTTTACAAATACATGTATGTGATCGTCCTCCCTCAAGCGTCTCGACCGGTCACGCAACTCAAAAACGAGCAATTGAGCAGCGCAAACGCGGACTCTTAAAAGTAAATCTGACATCTACTTTGGCTGAGCAGCATTTACGGTGATATGGCCTCTGCAGAAGTCTGGGCATTCATACATACTGCTTCGGAGCAGTGCAGAGCTGTTGTGAAGGAAGTTGTCAAGGAAGTGAGTTTGTGTTTATACAGGACCTCCCCCCTCGCCTACCGTCAACCAATCATGTCAATACCGAGCTGTAGGCCCTCAGCATTGTCACAAAATCTGAGAGGCGCAAGGCGATGCGCTACTGAGCTCAATTTGGCCTCTGCGTGCCTCTGGAGGCTCCGCGATTGCGTCACACCATCCATACGGCGCCTCCGACCACATTTTCGGATCGAGCATAAAACTTAGCTGTGTATTGTCGCTTTCCATGTTATCATTTGTCATTTGTTGCTTTTATGGATTTTGTTTTGTTACTTGTTGTGCTATTGCTCTGTCTGTCTGTCTGCCTGCATGTCTGTCTGCCTGTCTGTATGTTACGTCTTGCCTGTCATATGTTGCTCTGCATGTGCTCACTGCTTGTCTGGATTGTTATTGTAATTGTTTTTAATAACCTGTGCTTGAAAATTAGCCGGCGCGCTAAAACTTGCACTTTTACTGAAACGTTGATTAACGTGCACTGTCCCTGTAAAAATAAAAAAAATAACTGCTTAAAAAACCCATTGTTGACCATTTAGCCTTAAAAAAAATTATAAACAAAGAAATCACATAATATCGCATAGAAATACTTGTAATTATTCTTTGTAAGATAAGATAACATATCGATAATTGTGCACATTTTCCATAATTTGCCCTGATGATTAATTTACAAAGTATACAGGATGGGACTCAGTTATTATTGCCTGTTTCACAGCGGTGAAAAAAAACAATACAGCTAGCTAGTTAGCAAAGGACATAGCTAGCTAGCAAATGGCTTCACCAAGAAGAAGAAAGTATGATACACCCTTAAAATCTATGGTTGATGTGTCGCTCTTGTGGAGAAAACTATCCCAATAGGAAGTGCAAACACAATCTCTAATGCCAAGACGTCGGCACCGATATGATTATACTACAGCACTAGAGGAGATAACTGGTCCAATCGCTGCTGAAGGGGATGATGTTCCTAAATCAGTCTGCGAAAAGTGTCGCACACTTCTAACAAGGTACTACAAAAGTAGTCGTGAAGTGGCGAGACTTTGGAGTTTATTTCGAGAGAGAGCCAGTACTGTGGCGAAAATACGACGGAAGTGGTGCTCCCTCACAATGCCAACCCAGGAGGCTAAACGAAGAGGTAGCTACTCCCCAGTGTCCCAACATTCGAGAAGGACACTTCAGTTAAGTCTACCGACTGCTGAGCCAACCGACGATGTCACTTTTCCATCAGGCAGCGGTGATGGGGCTCTGTCAGAGTTGGTCTCACTTACCAGCCGTGTACAACAGGATCAAGATGCTGCTACAATCGAGTCTGGTGATGTTTCGACTTCAGAGTCCACAAACAAAAAGACAACCATGGAAAAATACAAGTTTTGTTGTCATCTACTATACCTGCTGCTGGATATGTAGGTAATCAAATGTTAGGCTACTTTAGTCAATGCTATTTGGACGCACGACATGATAGGCAACCTGTTATTTACCTAGCTAATCCAACAAAGCAACAATTAATAAGTACTATCTGTTTGAGGGAGAACCTCATACGGTACCTGGCACCTTGTCCTGCTAGTGAGACACAACCCTATTGATAAAGTAGTGCAAGGGAATGGTTTTGAAATGTAGGATGAAGGGGACAATAAATACACTATGCATTTCATAAATGTACCAGCAGTAAATAAAACGGAATATTATAAATGGAGGTATGATAGTCACTATGTCACGCCCTGACTCAGGGGACTCTTATATGTTGAGTCAGGGTGTGAATATTCTAGGTTGTGTTTTCTATGTTCCAGTCTAGGTGTTGTATATCTATGTTTGGCCGGGTGTGATTCCCAATCAGAGACAGGTGTCGCTCGTTGTCTCTGATAGGGGATCATACTTAGGCAGCCTATTGGCACTAGTTAGTTGTGGGATCTTGTTCCGTGAGTAGGCTTGTTTTTTGTGAAGCCTTAGGACTTCACGTTTCGTTGGTGTGGTGTCTCCAAATATGTTGCTAATTATGCTGTGATGATAAGAATTCCGCTGACGCTGTACTTTGATTATAAAGGTTTATTCCATCAATGGATTCCAGCGTCAATTTACAGACATCTGCAGATATCTGGATAATAACCGGACCCAATCCCTAATATGTTATTTATCCTCGTCCTTTGTTCAAAACATGGTATTTATCCTATGTAACATAAGATGGGTGGTTTTTTGACAGACCAATCCCTGGCTTCCACATATCTCCAAATGTCCTCTATTCCAAGAAGCCTATGTAGTAATGCTTTCCAGATGTTTCAGCAAAGCAGAGTAAAGTTAATCTATTACACCATTTGTAAATGTCAGCAAAATCATAGACCTTCAGACACTACATTGGTTTGTTGTTTTGTCGTGTGTTTATCATTTAAATAAACATGTACGCATTTCAGCTGCGCCTTTGTTTGACTCATCCTTAAACGAACGTGACACACTATAACAATATAAGCAATATACTGTGTAGTAAACAACATATCATGTTAAATGGTATCACACAGTAATACAACAAAGTACTGTATAGGATATAGTAACTGGTATTACACAGTAATATACCAGTTATCGCAGACTAACAATAATAAAAAAAGATATTTACATTGTGTATCTCAGCTCATGCAGTGGAGGTGCTGAGGGTGTTACAGCACTCCCTGAAAAATCAGAATAAAAAACAAATATGTACTTTTTTCTTCATAAAAGTAGTGCACTGGGCCTTTACTAGTCCTGTTAGCGGACATACAGTACCAGTCAAAAGATTGGACACACCTACTCATTCAAGGGTTTTTCTTTATTTTTACATTGTAGAATAACAGTGAAGACATCAAAACTATGAAATAACACATATGGAATCATATAGTAACCAAAAAAGTGTTAAACAAATCAAAAAATATTTTATATTTGAGATTCTTCAAATAGCCACCCGTTGTCTTGATGACAGCTTTGCACACTCTTGGCATTCTCTCAACCAGCTTCATGAGGTAGTCACCTGGAATGCATTTCAATTAACAGGTGTGCCTTCTTAAAAGTTAATTTGTGGAATTTATTTCCTTCTTAATGTGTTTGAGCCAATCAGTTGTGTTGTGACAAGGTAGGGGTGGTATACAGAAGATAGCCCTATTTGGTAAAAGACCAAGTCCATATTATGGCAAGAACAGCTCAAATAAGCAAAAAGAAACGACAGTCCATCGTTACTTTAAGACATGAAGGTCAGTCAATACGGAACATTTCAAGAACTTTTAAAGTTTCTTCAAGTGCAGTCGCAAAATCCATCAAGTGCTATGATGAAACTGGCTCTCATGAGGACCGCCACAGGAATGGAAGACCCAGAGTTACCTCTGCTGCAGAGGATAAGTTCGTTAGAGTTACCAGCCTCAGAAATTGCAGCCCAAATAAATGCTTCACAGAGTTCAAGTCACAGACACATCTCAACATCAACTGTTCAGAGGGGACTGTGTGAATCAGGCCTTCATGGCCAAATTGCTGCAAAGAAACCACTACTAAAGGACACCAATAAGAAGAAGAGACCTGCTTGGGCCAAGAAACACGAGCAATGGACATTTGTCCTTTGGTCTGGAGTCCAAATTGGAGATTTTTGGTTCCAACCGCCGTGTCTTTGTGAGACGCGGTGTAGGTGAACGGATGATCTCCGCATATGTAGTTCCCACCGTAAAGCATGGAGGAGGAGGTGTTATGGTGTCGGGGTGCTTTGTTGGTGACACTGTGTGATTTATTTAGACTTCAAGGCACACTTAACCAGCATGGCTACCACAGCATTCTGCAGCAATACGCCATCCCATCTGGTTTGGGCTTAGTAGGACTATCATATGTTTTTCAACAGGACAATGACCCAACACACCTCCAGGC